GCATATACTCATACAGGATCATTGCACTATTGCATAGGCCTGTATTTTTCAGCCTTCATGTGATATTCAGTATACCTCGATATAAATGTTTTTACTCTGAAATGTTGTTTTTTTTCAGAGGGACTGTAATTGACTAAATACAAAATTTCAGTTTATTGTGTGAACAAAAGGTGTATACTTTAAGTGATAAGTGTGGGGAAAAAAGAAACATCAAGGTAAATGCACAGTGCATGTCACTTACAGTCAAACTGTACTTTTTAAATTATGCCTAAAATGTGAAAATATAATTGTGTATATTTAAGCTAAGGTTTTTTTTTTCCATTTAAATGCTTATTTCTAACACTGCTGTTAACTCCACACATAATTTGAGATGTGATGGATTTGCCACTGTAGTGAAAGTTTTATAACTTTCAGGAGGGGAAAGATTTAAAAAAATAATAATAATAAAAATAAATTCTTATGTGATGCACCATTGTTACTACACTAGTGAGATTAAAAGTGTTATTTTCTGTTTACCCAAATGACAACCAGATCTCTAATACATGCAGTCACATAAACTATCATAGAGTTCTCTCACTAACAAGTGTCTTCTTTCAAACATCTTTGTTTCCCTCAGCTCCTATCTTCAGACTTGACAAATCATCTATGTAAATCAGTCTGACACCAAAGTTACTCCCATTTGTTTGTCGTCAGTTTTAAATTATGCAGACTTGATTTAGGGACTCACTTATGTCTGGTCTGCTCTTCACATAATCATGATGGCATGCTCCCCTAGTTTTATAATGGGTCTGAACATAAGTGGTAAAGTTGCTTATGGCAGGAGAATGGCGAAGGATCACCTGTGGATCCTCAGGAAGAATGAACACATGGCACTGACTCATAAATGGTACAGTATGTCTGGTTTATTGAGATGATGTTACATTTACTTGTCCTCCAGGCTGTACGTTTCCTGATCAAATAAGTTGTCAATCTTTTTTTTTTCTGGGTCACAGATTGTATTTGGATTTTTTTTTTTTTTCCAGTTTGATGGTAATACAAAAGTAAGTGAATTTTCTTTTCCAATTTTCAGATGTGCACAGTGGTAGGACATCATTTCTTTTTATAAAAATGTTTCAAATTTATTTGCATTCTTTTCCAAATTACTCCTCTACTCTCTTTGACCTAGATTATTTTGCTATTAACGTTGAAGTTAACAATAATGGTGATCATATTATTGATGTCATAGAATTATTATATTACCATATATAAGTTTACAGTGCTGTGTAATGCTACATAACTTTATAGAGCTTGAAGAATTTCTGCATCATTAAAACAAACCCTCTGTATGTCCCATATGCTGATATATGAGATGAACCTGACTGATTTTTATTCAGGTGTTTCTGACTTCACCGTGTGTAAGAGGCTGTAAAGATGTCCAGAGATCCACGTGAGGATGATGATGGATGTGAGGCAAAGGTTATATGGTGCTTCAAGCAAAGGTTATATGGTGCTTCAAATTTGAAGCAGAAAAATAAAGTAAGATGCACTGTTCATATTTTTCTGATATAGAAAACAATGTACGCTAGGCGTGTATTGATAGTTTACACATTTATGCAGCTCTGCGTGAAGTCGAGTTCTTGGAGAACGTCCCTGAGAATGGTGTTATCCTGATTCTTTCCAGCTCTGTTCACTTTAAACCCTGTCGTCATCATTGGAATGAAACAGAATTTATGTTTCTGCTCAGATTCACATGTTTTATTGTTTTTTTACTGCCTGACATGCTTTGAACACCACATGCTCTGATGTTTGAGCTTCAGTTCATTGGTGTACAGTGCTGAGGTGTTTCCGCACAGCATGCTGACGTACATGGCATGTAGCTGTATATCACAACAGGTCAGGACGTTAACGATCCATGCTGGAGATTTTCCATGAATCCTTTAAGCATTTTTCAGACACGGCTGACACCTACAGTAATTATTTGAGTTAAAAGTTTTTACATACAAAGTCATTAAAGGGTTATTTTTGTCCATTTAAAATCATAAATGAACCTAATAGCTGATTTATTTAGTTGGTAAATGTCAGATATTGGATTCATAATAGGAATAATTCACCTCTTAGAAATCAAATTACCACTTCCACAAAACACTAGTTATGGGAAGGAATGAAACACGTGCACACACACACACACACACACACACACACACACACACAGACACACAGGAGATGCGTTCAGAGTCTTCAGAGTTTATTCAGGATTCACAAGCGAATATACACTCCTGGCATGTGAAACAATGATTGTTATGCTTCTCATAACCTTCAGTGGTACCTTAATCCACAATATTTACTAAAACAGTCTGCCGTACTTCTGCATGGCAGCTAAAAGCAGGCACTTTCACATTGCATGGGTGAGGGTCAATGAAAAAGCACACACATTTATGAAATCAATGGTAATTCACAAAATTCTTGACATTTAGTTACCCTGTTGAAAAAAAAACAGCATATGCCGGTTAGGTATGTTTTGAAGCATGGCAGCTGGTTTGAGCTTTTTTAAGCTGGTCCTTAGTTGGTCATGAGCTGGTTTAAGCTGGTCCTGAGTGGGTTATAAGCTGGTTATAAGTTAGTCCTGAGCAGGAGCTAGTTGCTTAGGACCAGCACAAGACCACCTTAAACAGAGCTCATAACTCTCCGGTTACTGATGTAACATCGGTTCCCTGAGATAAGGGAACAAGCGTTGCGTGAAAGGGGGGCCCTCTTAGGGCCCGCAGGACTATAGACAAGTCCCAAGACATCACAGTCTGAGGGCGAGGAGGATTCAGCCTCCGTGTACCCTTCAAGAACTTAATGGACTTAGGACCAGCACAAGACCATCTTCAACAGAGCTCATAACGTTGTGTTGTTACGTCATTACAAAAATGTAATGATCAGGTCGTTTCTGCCGATCGATTGGCCAGCTTAACCAGCTTCGCCCAAGGGGGAAGAGTGGTACATTAAACTGAAAGAACTCGCGCCTGTAAAGCAGGACGTCTAAGTTATAGAATCTGGCAAATATGGACAGCGATGACCAGCCGGCGGCCGCACAGATCTCACCAATAGAAATTACGCTGGACCACACCCAGGAGGAGGCCATCCCTCTTGTGGAATGGGCCCTCACACCTATAGGGCATTGCAAGCCTTCCGAGGCGTAAGCCAAGGCTATCGCATCAACAGTCCAGGGAGAAAGTCGCTGCTTTGTGGCCGGCAGTCCTTTATGGTGGCCTCCAAAGCAAACAAAAAGCTGCTCTGACTGTCTAAACAGGCTAGAGTGTTCTAGGTATACTCTCAGAGCCCTTACTAGACAGAGCATGTTCGGACACTGCTCACCATCTGTAACGGGGAGCACCAATAGGGAGATCACCTGAGCTCTGAATGGAGTTGAGAGCACTTTAGGAACATAACCATGTCTTGGTTTTAGAATGACTTTACAGTCATTAGGCCCAAACTCAAGACATGAGGCGCTGATTGACAGCGCTTGTAAGTCACCCACTCGCTTAACCAACGGCAACGATAAGGGACGCAAATCGTCCGAACTGAGCAGCTCGAAGGGGGGCCCTCTTAGGGCCCGCAGGACTATAGACAAGTCCCAAGACATCACAGTCTGAGGGCGAGGAGGATTCAGCCTCCGTGTACCCTTCAAGAACTTAATGGACTTAGGACCAGCACAAGACCATCTTCAACAGAGCTCATAACGTTGTGTTGTTACGTCATTACAAAAATGTAATGATCAGGTCGTTTCTGCCGATCGATTGGCCAGCTTCGAGAGAATGGTTTGCTGCGATAGCTGCCACATACACTTTGAGTGTGGAGGGGGCATGCCCCTTATCCAGCAGCTCTTGCAAAAAGGTTAGCACATGGGACACTTCACATGATATTGGGGTACAAACATCGTGCAGAACACCAGTTGAGGAAGACCGACCATTTTAGGCTGTAAAGTCGTCTTGTAGACGGCACTTTTGCCTCCAAAATGGTATTGCTTACTCGAGGGCACTTTAGGAACATAACCATGTCTTGGTTTTAGAATGACTTTACAGTCATTAGGCTCAAACTCAAGACATGAGGCGCTGATTGACAGCGCTTGTAAGTCACCCACTCGCTTAACCAACGGCAAGGCAAGGAGGAGGGCCGTTTTAAGCTGCCACATACACTTTGAGTGTGGAGGGGGCATGCCCCTTATCCAGCAGCTCTTGCAAAAAGGTTAGCACATGGGACACTTCACATGATATTGGGGTACAAACATCGTGCAGAACACCAGTTGAGGAAGACCGACCATTTTAGGCTGTAAAGTCGTCTTGTAGAAGGCACTTTTGCCTCCAAAATGGTATTGCTTACTCGAGATTGAACCATTTGAGGGTGTAGTGTTATTCGCCTGGGGCTACCTTGCCTCTGGACAGCATGTCTGCACCAAGGTTCAATCTGCCCGGCACATGAACCACCCTTAACGAGAGGAGTTCTTTCTGTGCCCAAAAAAGGAGGCGACGAGCCATCCTGTAAAGAGTGTGTGACCTGAGACCACCTTGGTGATTGATGTAAGCCACCACTCTTTTTGAGAATAATTTGTGATAACTTTAACCGTAACAAATAATGCTTAACAGATCAGTAATTAATGTACCTTTTTAAGGTACACAAATAATCTGTTATAAATTGCATTATATTGTTTGAAAATGAAAACTACTGAACTTGTTTTAAAAATTATTACATTCTTTGTTACATTTATGCATAGCCATGCATCTTATATATTATGCAGCAAATGTAAAAATGGGTGGGTTCACAGGAGGAGCTCTGGATATTAGTGTTCCTCTGGATGGCAGCAGATGACTCACATGAATGGAGCTGATGCACATTATTACATTTCTTGTCTTTTACAGCAAACCCATGCAGTCTTCACACATATCCAGTGATTCTCAATCATTCTGTATGGCATCTCTTTATTGCATGTGGATCTCACACAGAGAAGAGGCTGTGAAGACTGTCATGTTCTTCTGATCTTCATCATTCAGCTGCTGATTTTTGGTTGGACTTGAGCCTGTACTGTACTGAAATTAGAGCTGTTTCACACAGTAAGTGCACATTTTTCTTGCATTAGCTGTTATAGTTCAGTAATATATTAGTTCAGATAAATGAGACTTATGAGAAAATAACTTTTTTTGCTATTACACTTTTGAAATATGAAATTTCAAATGTTAATGGTAAGTTTTGAGTATTTAGGGTGGACATTAAATAAGCAGACACTGGTTGCATACTTTAAATGAGGCAATGCATGTGATGCATTTGAGAATAAGGTTATCCATTCTTAATACTGTGTTGGCATCTGTTTGTCTTTCTTCTACTGTAGTGATGATACGGTTGTGTGTAAGCTGGCTGGTTTTTCTGTTGGGAGTGCAGCTTGTTTTGGCTCAGCTGGGCAAACTTGACGATGCTGCTGATGATGATGTTGATTTAGAAGACAAGAGAAATGGAAGAAACAAAAATAAACCAATCACCTCTAATGTCATCCCAAATAACAATGGTAAATATTTCTTGCTGTTCAGCACAACACAGTTAATACGTAAATACTTAAAACTGAAATTGAGATTTATACATCACCTGAGTGTTGTAGCTGGATAGGATTTATACATCACCTGATGTAGCTGCATAAATAAGCTTTCCATTGATGTATGGTTTGATAAATAAGCTTTCCATTGATGTATGGTTTGTAGGACAATATTTGGTAGAGATACAACTATTTGAAAATCTGGAATCTGAGGGTGCAAAAAAATCTAAATACTGAGAAAATCGCCTTCTTGTTTTGGCTCAGCTGGGCAAACTTGACGATGCTGCTGATGATGATGTTGATTTAGAAGACAAGAGAAATGGAAGAAACAAAAATAAACCAATCACCTCTAATGTCATCCCAAATAACAATGGTAAATATTTCTTGCTGTTCAGCACAACACAGTTAATACATAAATACTTAAAACTGAAATTGAGATTTATACATCACCTGAGTGATGTAGCTGGATAGGATTTATACATCACCTGATGTAGCTGCATAAATAAGCTTTCCATTGATGTATTGTTTGTTAGGATAGGACAATATTTGGTTGAGATACAACTATTTGAAAATCTGGAATCTGAGGGTGCAAAAAAATCTAAATACTGAGAAAATCGCCTTTAAAGTTGTCCAAATGAAGTTCTTAGCAATGCATATTACTAATCAAAAATTAAAAAATCTGTAATCTGAGGGTGCAAAAAATCTAAATATTGAGAAAATTGCCTTTAAAGTTGTCCAAATGAAGTTCTTAGCAATGCATATTACTAATCAAAAATTAAGTTTTGATATATGTAAGGTAGTAAATTTACAAAATATCTTCATGGAACATGATCTTTACTTAATATCCTAATGATTTTTGGCATAAAAGAAAAATCAATCATTTTGACCCATACAATGTATTGTTGGCTATTGCTACAAATATACCTGTGCTACTTATGACTGGTTTTGTGCCCCAGGGTCACATATGTGAAGTTTGCTGCCTTACGGTCTGCTCTGCTTTCCAGGGCTTCTGAATTTGATCTAAACTCTGCTCACTATCCTGGGGCAGATTTCCTCTTTGACATGTTTCTTCTTCATCATAAATATGATTTACTGGAGACTGGTGTCATTTCAGCTGGTTCACATTTACTATTACATTTAAATTTTTTGGCACTTTTACGTTATTTATTTATTACCTAAACAGTTATCAAAGGATTAAAGTCAAATAGGAGTCACAGACTGTACTTTAGTGTCAAACCACATTACAATGTGTGCAGTCACAAATCAGCATTTTTGTTACTTTGTTATTCCAAGTCTCGCTTAAAGAAATAGTTCACCCCAAAAAATATATTTACTAAAAATGTTGTCCCAAACTCATATGCTGCATTGTTTAATTAGTATCACTGGTTTACTATTGTAGTTTTTGTTAATATTTTGAATTAAATTTTATTTTTAGATTTTAAGATAATCATTTTAAATTTTAGTTGTGTGGTTTTGCTATTTTTAATGTCTGTATACATTTTTTTTTTTAGTTTTAGTACTTTTACTATTTTAATATGAAAATGCAATGTTGCTTTATCAACTAGCTGAAATAAAATAAGTGTAAAGATTTAATATTTTATTTAAGTTGTTTATTTTATTTCAGTTAACGAAAATGTTTTTTTATGCTTTTGGTTTTAGTTTTTGTTAACAATAATAAGTGTTGTATGCTGTTATTTTTTCTGTAGGCCACAATGATATTTTTTGAAGAATCTTCAGAAAATCTTATTATCACTTAAACTCTTAAATTCAATAACAGTTCATATTTGCAGCTGTCAAGCTACACAAAATGCAAAAACACAGTAAAATACTATAAAACTCAAATCAATATGACACCAGAAGTCAAGGTTAATGTAAATTAAGTTTGGTCACAATACATGCAAGAAACAAAGATGTTTGAAAATATTATTGATGTCCAATCTGACGTTTTAACATAGGTTTGAATTTATTTCTTTGGGTCAATGTTTAACACTTTTTTTTCTTTTTTTCCAACTTTCAGATGTGGACTGTAATTTGGAACTGGCATTTTTGGTGGACAGTTCAGAAAGCGCCAAAGACAACCATGCTCAAGAGAAGCATTTTGTTACTGATCTCGTTAGCCGGATCCGAAACATCCGTCTCCAAACTGGACAGGGCTTGAAATTCAGAACTGCTCTCCTTCAGTACAGCAGTCATGTGATCATCGAACAGTCCCTCAAAGATTGGAGGGGTGTGCCCACCTTCCAGGATCACATCGGGCCCATGCCTTACATAGGGCATGGTACCTACACCACCTACGCCATCACCAACCTCACACGCATTTACCTGGAGGAGTCTGGCCCTGACAGCGTGAAGGTGGCCATTCTGCTGTACGACGGCGAGTCGCATCCCAAGAATCCCGATATCTTCTCTGCTTTAGCTGATGCTAAGAACCAAGGGATTAAATTCTTCACAGTGGGTTTCACATCCGCTGCCAATGTGGAACAGCTGCGGCTCCTGGCCAGTCCTCCGGCCGCCCGCTACGTACATAACCTACAGGACAAGGGCGTCGTGGACAAGATCGTCAAAGAGATTGTAAGTAGTGTTTTCCCATAGGTAATAAAAATCTTGTGTCAAATGTTTTTTGATAGACATAAACGAGAGCAAATGGAAATTTTGTCCTGCTAGACCCCAGAAATCTAATGTGTATCATTAAAGGGATAGTTCACCCAAAAATGTAAATACTGTGATTATTTACTCACCCTCATGTCATTCCAAACCTGCAAGACTTTCGTTCAACTTTGGTACACAAATGATCTTTTAATATTTTACTGAAAATTTATCCCCAAGAATCCCGATATCTTCTCTGCTTTAGCTGATGCTAAGAACCAAGGGATTAAATTCTTCACAGTGGGTTTCACATCCGCTGCCAATGTGGAACAGCTGCGGCTCCTGGCCAGTCCTCCGGCCGCCCGCTACGTACATAACCTACAGGACAAGGGCGTCGTGGACAAGATCGTCAAAGAGATTGTAAGTAGTGTTTTCCCATAGGAAATAAAAATCTTGTGTCAAATGTTTTTTGATAGACATAAACGAGAGCAAATGGAAATTTTGTCCTGAGACCCCAGAAATCTAATGTGTATCATTAAAGGGATAGTTCACCCAAAAATGGAAATACTGTCATTATTTACTCACCCTCATGTCATTCCAAACCTGCAAGACTTTCGTTCAACTTTGGAACACAAATGATATTTTAATATTTTAATGAAAATTTATCTGAGAGATTTCTGTCCCGCCATTAATAGTCTACACTACTACTACTTTTTCGCTTCAAAAGCTCTTAACATCTTGAGTCTCATCAGAAAATTTGGACTAAACTGCTCAATTCATATGGATTAGTTTTATGATCTCTTTCTGAACATTTTGAAGCATCCAAGTGGTAATTGCGTAGAGTTTCAATGGCGAGACAGAAATCTCTCAGATTTTATTCAATTATTTTCATTTGTGTTCTAAAGATGAATGAAAGTCTTACAGGTTTGGAACGGCATAAGAGTGAGTAAATTATGTCAGAATTTTCATTTTTGGAGTAACTATCCCTTTAAGAATTTTCCCAGAAGCATTGTGAGCCTAAAGGCTGGAATGCACCACACAATTTTTTAAAACAGATTGGCATCAATAAGACTAGGCATCACTAAGCAATTTGGATGGTATGGAAGCCTGTTTTCTGCCACTCAATAAAAAATATTAATTGTGACTTTTTATCTCATATTCTGACTTTTTTTGCAATTGCGTGTTTACATCTCGAAATTCTGACTTTTTTCAAATTGCCTAATACAAACTTGCAAGTCTGACTGTTTTTTCTCAGAATTGCTAGTTTATATCTCGCAATTGTTATTTTATTTCTCACAATTTATATCCTGCTATTCTGACTTTTTTATTCAGTGGCAAAAACGGGTGAAATGGCGAAAGTCTGAAAAATAAAACTAAAGTCTGTGCGCTTCATAAACTGCAATTTTCTGTGAGATCTGTTGATTCCGACTGCCCAAAATCTGAAGACTTTAACTTTCGGCAACAAGCATCAACTTCTGCAGACTTAAGATTGGAGCAAAAATCTATGCAAAAATTGTGTAGTGTATTCCAGCCTTAAACTGATAAAGGGGCAATTGGTGCCAATGACTTCTACAATCAACTTAGGCTTGTGGTGCTGTTTGAAGTCTCTCAATATAAACTCAATTTCTATTTAAATTCTGTGATCTGAACTGTGATCCTCATTAATTTTATAGTTCTTTATGTATACTGAATATTAGCTGTTGTCTCGTTTGTGCCTATTTTTATTTCTCCTGAGGAATGTTTGAAGAAACATCTGAAAAAATGTCTTGAAAGAGGAACATCTGAGCAATAAAATTTCCCTCAGGATTGTCCAAACAAACAAGTTTAAGATGGCAGTGTTAAGACAAGAGCTGTGAAAACAAATTTTTGGTTCTTAGGGACAAACTTTGAAGTGTAGAAATTATGAAGGTCAGATGCTTGTGAAGGCCCAAATAAAGGATTTATATCTCTTGAGGGATCACAGATTAAGCGGGGCATGTATGTGTCGGGGTTTGTGCTACTGAGAACACTCTTCATGCAGTTATGGAAAATGGGCCGTCTTATCTCTGTATCTGTCCTGAGGACATGGAAAAAGTTGATTATGAATTCCTTCGACAGGGCATTAAGGGCATAGTGAGTAAATGCTTTCTGAAACACACCTTACCTCAAGATAAAAAGTTGTCTACTTTATTATAGCATAGTATTTTGGACCATGGTGTGCTTGTCGGCAAGTGATGCAAGTACAAGTCTGGCTCGTGTAATTTCCTGAACCCATTCTCTCTTTGTTGCCTGATAAAAGTGATACAAAGCATGCCTGCAAAAAAAGCTTGGTGCCAACACCTGATCAAGTGTGCCCCACAATGCACGTAAGATGCATGTCATGTCTGTCTGTGAGATTCCATCCATCTAATTCATCACACTTTGCATGCAGGATGAATATCTCACCCAGCCTTCTGCACGCTAGCTGCTCTAGAAAGACTGTTGATGCAGGTGCTTGTCAATGAGACAAGAAAAGCACATTCGCAGGCCAGGAGCATTCAAATCGCATGCAACATTGTCATCTTCTCTGCTGCTCAACTATCTCATCTGCTGTAGTTACATCTGTTAATCTGCTGCTCGTTCAAACCAAGCGTGATGTTGCTCATCGCACACGTTTTCGGTTAAATAAGACATGCATCTTTCCACTTTGTCATTATGTCAACTGTGTGTGCTGTTTGCAATCAAGATGAAATGACTTAATGTGTTGCAATTACGTTTTCTTTGTTCTTCTGAGTGCCTGTGATTCCCAGATTACGGTATTTCTGTCTATCATCACTGACCTTAAACTGTTGGAAATGTGTCTCCCTTTCTGTTTTTCTCATTCATACACATGTGCATCTATTATGCAAATGCATGCACACTAAACCTGGCATGAGAAACATCTAAAAAAAAAAGGCAGACTTTCTTCCAGCAGCCTTTTGTGTATTGAGAAGAGACTAAATATGGGACTTTTCAGTTTTCTGAAAGTTGGTTTGGACATTTATACCTGTATAGACTGTATGAGGTCTCTTATCATTTTTGTAAATTTTTTTTCTTGTAAATTCACCTTTTTCACTTTTGTTTCCTTCTAGACTGAGGTGGCTAATGAAGTGGTAAGTGTTTGACTGACAGAATTCATTTAGGACACTTATGAGTGACATTATTTGTTGTGACTAAAGCTGTGTGTGTGTGTGTGTGTCCAACAGTGCCCTCTTTCCCCAAAATGCACTTGTGAGAAAGGAGAGCGAGGACCCAGCGGACCACCTGTAAGTGTCACACATTCTTAAAACCCTTTCCAGCCCCTCACACAGTTTCAAAAAAGCATAATTTAATATAAATTCAGATTTTGTCTTTCCACATGTTTTTAATAAAGAGAACAAATGCCCACCAGATTGATCAAAGTGTCCTCATTGGCGGAACATGCAAGAATTTTACAATTGTATAATTATTCATGCTTATGTCATTCTAAACCTGTTTGCTATTATTATTGTGTTGCTCATTTCTTGTAGCATCTCCACACAGCTGTTGTCCATACAGTGACAGTGACATCTGTCAATCTCCAAAAAGGAGCATAAAGTGGAAAAAAATAAATGAAAGCATCATAAAATTAGTCCCTAAAATAGACTTCTTGCATTTTGATGAAACCACACTGAATTTGATTTGGTGGAGAGAAGTTGTTTGAATATTGCTGTAAAATAAATAATTCAGATATTGAACATTTTTTGAAAGAAAACTGCTTGACTGCTATTTTAAATTAATAAAATTTCAGCCTATTAATAAAACCTTATATCTTTATTATTGTAAAGAATTTTCAGTGTCTAGAAGGGAACACATAACCATAAATAAATAATTCTGCACCCGTCAGTTTATACCACTTTAACCAGTTTTCTTTGTCTAGAAACTGTTGACAGAATGATCTGCTGTGCATGGCAGAATCTGAATCATTAGTAAATTAACGCTCTTTCTCTGAGAACCACAGGGTAAAAAGGGTCGTCCTGGAGAAGATGGTAGTCCAGGAACTAAAGGACAAAAGGTCAAAGTTATTTTAAATGATCACCCATGTTTGTCATTATTTATTTGTGTTACCCTCTAAAATGAGACACACTTCCTGCAGGGAGAGAGCGGATTCAGCGGTCCTCCTGGACGAGACGGGACAGAGGTGAACCTGTCCAGAACAAGGCCTAAAGTCACTCTTATTTTGACATTATCTGCTTGTGTAATTTCTCTCTCACCATGTGTTCTGTATTGATTATTAGGGGAAACCTGGATACAAAGGAGAAAAGGTAAAATGATGCATCATAGATGGATTTACAAATTATCGGTTGTGCTAGCAATCTCATGGTTAGATTAGGAAAAAAAAGTATTCGTTAAATTCAATTTAAGTCGCTTTGAATAAAAGCATCACTGTTGACAGAATGATCTGCTGTGCATGGCAGAATCTGAATCATTAGTAAATTAACGCTCTTTCTCTGAGAACCACAGGGTAAAAAGGGTCGTCCTGGAGAAGATGGTAGTCCAGGAACTAAAGGACAAAAGGTCAAAGTTATTTTAAATGATCACCCATGTTTGTCATTATTTATTTGTGTTACCCTCTAAAATGAGACACACTTCCTGCAGGGAGAGAGCGGATTCAGCGGTCCTCCTGGACGAGACGGGACAGAGGTGAACCTGTCCAGAACAAGGCCTAAAGTCACTCTTATTTTGACATTATCTGCTTGTGTAATTACTCTCTCACCATGTGTTCTGTATTGATTATTAGGGGAAACCTGGATACAAAGGAGAAAAGGTAAAATGATGCATCATAGATGGATTTACAAATTATCGGTTGTGCTAGCAATCTCATGGTTAGATTAGGAAAAAAAAGTATTCGTTAAATTCAATTTAAGTCGCTTTGAATAAAAGCATCTGCCAAATGTAAACAAATATAAATTTTATGTGCCTTATATGCAATCCTTAATGGTGCAGATTTTTTTTATGTTGTACTGACTGATGTTACAGTGTTTTTAACTGTGAATATAGAATATTAAATTGAAAATAGTATAATATAATTTTTTTTTTTATTTATGAAGAATAAAACAGCTTTTTAGCCAACTGATATGACTTTATACTTCATCTCATCTGAGTGTATATCATATTTGTCAAAAGTAATATATATTTTTCCAAAAATGAATGGGCAAACCTTTAAATTGTGTTGTGTGTAGGTTTCCTGCAAATACCGTTCTTAAAAAAAAAAAAAAAATTCTTAGTTTGAGAAACATTTTAATGATCTTTAATAATCATGAAGCACCTTTTTCCCATTTAAAGAACCTTTTGTGAAATGGAAGTGTTTGTTAATGGATGTGGATGTTAAATGTTCTTCACGGAACAATCAATGCCAATAAAGAACCTTTATTTTTAAGTGTGTAGGGAATGTTTGGGACAACATTTCCACGTTCCACGTTCTTGTGTAATATAAATATTTCTGCAGACCTAAATGCCCTGTATGTGCTTGCAGAGTGCTGCCATGCTAAAAAATGACTTTAAAAGCATTCTAGGAAAGAATTCATCAGGCTGGTTATTTTTTTATTTGGATTAATTTTGACACTCAAAAAGCTCATCTAGTTCTCTGTCAGTGCTGATATGCATCTGTGTGCTACTAAAGAGAACTAAGAACTTAATTATTTTTCTGGAATGTTCTTTTTTCCTGTACTGATGGCTATCATCTGAGCTACAGATTAATGTTTGGACTTGCATGTTTGTGTCGCACCACAAATCGGTATTTCTATCTTTGACAGGTGAAGGTGTTCTGCATAATGTGTCTGAACACAGTAATTGCTGTCTTTGCTTAAATATATCTGACATGAGCCATGTGTCTTCAAAGACCACCAGTGAAAGAATGCATGCAGACATGTGCCTAATGGCCCGATGTATATAATAGTCATGAAATGCTTTTTATAACATCATGGTTACTGTGATTTTTTTTTTTCATTTAACGGATGCTGATATTCAAAGCATTCCCTTAAAGGTTAAGTCTTCTTTAAAGCAGCACGTGTTTATTTTAGTGCCCATATTAACACAGGCTTGATGACAAGCAGACCAAATTTATATTCCGTGAATCTGACTGAATCCAGATGATGTAAGCAGTTTATTGCTGCAGTTTGAGTTTTGGGATTCGTTCCATGTAGATTAATCACCATTTAGATGTAAATGTGATCCACTCTTCATTCTCATGGTGCTCCAAAAATATAATGAGAAAGGTCTCGAGACGTGTTTTTAAAAAGTTGAACTTCTTTTAACTTGAGCACTGCGTATTTGCACGCGAGACACTGCAAAAGACGTGAAACATGAATGCAACAGTCAAACACGTCTGTCTAGCATGTGTTTGCATAGAAAAACAATGGGAAAGTAATGCAGTGGAATTGAAAATGCATTCTATGTAAACAGCCCTTAAGAATGTTTATTTTATAGATCCCAATATGTAAAGATTGATCAGCAATTATCCGAACCATTAACTATTAATAAAGGGGTCCCTCAGGGCTCTGTGTTAGCATCCTGTTTTCAAACCCTGTTTTCAATTTACATTAATAATATTTCTCAGGTTATCTGTAGTCAGAAAACCTATATTGACTTATATGCAGATTATACAATTTTTATGCTGTAGGATCGTCATATGATTAAGTTTTAAAACAGGCACAGGATAGTTTTAATAATATTCAACAGGCTTTTAATTACTTAAATCTAGTTTTAAATAGCACAAAAACAAAAGTTTTGTATGTTTGTAAAAAATGTTTGTATGTTTCTCAGGAGATATTAATTCTCCTGCCAGGCTGTTATTGAAAATAAGAACGTGCTCTTAATTGACTTGCCTGGTTAAATAAAGGTTAAATAAAAAATAACATTATTTAACATTTCAATATGTAGATTTTACTAGTAATGTCACAATAATCTTTGTATGGCCTTTCTCTCATTATCATATCAGCAAAATCAAATATCAGTCAAATTCCAACAAAATTTATTGATTTATTAGTACATTAACTAATTTAAATACATATGGATATATTGAATAAAACATCTAAAAAGAAAGTCTTAAATTTGTTTTTAAATACCTTTACAAGCAGAAAAAAAAAAAGAAGAGTACTAACTAAATGCTTGTCTAATGTGATCTTTTCAAATTTGCATAGAGGTATAGAGAGCATTGAGTTCAGAGATTGCACTTCAATATTGGATCTGTTATTGTTCTAAATGGTTCTGCATCTTTAGGGCGAGAGAGGTTTTCCCGGACCGCCAGGAATACAAGGCGAGACTGGCTTTGGGCTTCCTGGACCAAAGGTTGGCTTTTATATGGAAACTCTGAGATCAGGAACCCAGTGAACTCATATCTGTGATCATAACGTGTGTTTTCTCAATCTGTAGGGTGATGTGGGGTTTCAGGGCAGAATGGGTCCTCCCGGGCCTCCTGGGCTTGGCGAGCCGGGCCAACCGGTAATTATTCTCACACTGGTTGCTATTGACATTGAACACATTGTCATATTAACCTCTATAGTCTTGTTTACTCTGAAGGGGCCACAGGGGCCGCAGGGTTTGCCAGGAGAGAAGGGCCCTCCAGGAGAGGGTTTACCAGGACCAAAGGTAAACTTGTCATTGCACATAGTTCATCATTTTTAGAATGCAGTGTGCTGGAGCCATATCAAGGTCATGAGGCGGTTTAATATGTTTTTATTCAAGTTGTGTCTTGTGTGAAAGGTTTATATCAAAGAACCTTTGAAATGTCTGAACTTTGTAACCTCTGACCTCAATTAATTTTCTGAGTGATCCAGCATTCTTTCATCTGTTTTTATTCAGTAAAGGAACATAATCGATCTTGCTGTTGTTTGACTCTGTATCTGAAAAATGCAGGGTGTGTCAGATATATTTATGCATTTGGCAGATGCTTTTATGCAAAGCAACTTAAAGTGCTTTCAGTAAATGTGTTGCCTGGGAATCAAACCCATGACTTTGGCGTCGCTAGCACTGTGTTTTACCAGTTGAGCTTCAGAGGTTTGTTGACACAGTGCAGAATGAGATTTTAAATCGTGTTTTTGTTAAGGCTTAACCGTTTTAATTACTAAAACACCCTGGCAAATATCCAGATACACTCTTAAAAATAAAGGTGCTTCAAAAGGTTCTTCACAGCGATGCCATAGAAGAACCATTTTTGGTTCTACAAAGAACCATTCAGTAAAAGGTTCTTTAAAGAACCATCTCTTTCTTACCTTTTTGTAATCTGAAGAACCTTCTTTCACCACAAAGAACCTTTTGTGAAACATAATAGAAAAAATCTTTATGGAACCATCTAGACAAAAAGGTTCTTCTATGGCATCGTGAAGCACCTTTATTTTTAAGAGTGTAACGTACAATGGAAAAAATAGACTTTGAAGGCGTTTCTTTGAACCAAATTTAACTCAAATTGCTTGTAAATTTCACAAATAAATACAAAGAAACAAAAAAGTAACTGTGAATAAAACATGAAATTTTAAAGTAGAAACACTAAAATAGTATTTTCTTTTAAAAGGTACTATTTACAAATGTTTTTTTACAACTCGTACAACAAAAAACATTTTTTACAGTTTAGCATCATGGCAGAGTTTTTCTTCAGAAGCTGTTATGCATAATGTCTTAATGGTTCTAAAATAGGCTTCATTTTCTCTCTACAAATATAGCTTTTTCTTTTGATCTTAGGGTGAATTGTGACCTGCACATTTTTTTGACATTCACCAGGATAAACAATTACAACAACAAAAATATATGAGAATGGGATGGCAATGCATGGTATAAACATGGTTTAAACTTTTGTCTTTTACAGGGTGAGAGGGGTCTGGAGGGGCAGAGAGGACCCAGAGGACCAGTAGGTCCTGGCATTAGAGGAGACAAGGTAAAACATTCAGATCGATTAAATGAAATTTGATTTTTAGTGAACTAATCACTTTCTTTTTTGAGCTCATATCTCATGAGCGGGTTGATTATACCCTAAAGCTGCTCTATACTAGATGTTTAGTTTTCTTTTAAAACTTTTAAAAATTAATTAGAAATGTTCTTAGCTCTGAAAAGTTTCAATTGTAACTATTTGCATAATTAGCTTTATTATACCATTCTCTGTGGCTTTGTGAAGGAACATGTCACAGCATGCAGTGCAATCAGTACTCAGCCTGTGGCCAAGACATATAAAAATATCAATGCTGTATCTATGACGCATTCATTTTAATAACTAGATTGTACATGAGCTTGCTTATGCTTGACTCTGAGGTGTGTAATTGCAATAATATATTTGTGTTTATTGTCTTAAGGGTGATATTGGTCCTCCTGGTCTTCAAGGACCAGTGGGGCTTCCTGGAGCAGGGATCCAAGGAGAGAAGGTGCTGACAAGCTTATGATCTGAGCATGACGTAAAAATCCATGTACAATGTACATCCATGCATTGTAGGATATGCTTGTTTTAGGGTGTGGAAGGACCACGTGGACCCCCGGGAAGCAGAGGCCCATTGGGTGAGGGCTACTCTGGACCAAAGGCAAGAGTTTCCCATCATGCTATAACCAATGTCACAACTTCAAATAGTAAAAGGGTTGGATAAACATTGTCTGATAACTTATGAAATCATCTGAATGTTTACCAATGTGCTTTTGAAGGGTGATCAAGGTTTACCAGGTGAGATCGGTGCACCGGGAGAGAGAGGAGCAGGAGAACCGGGAGCTAAAGTAAGTCATCTTCACTTTACTCTTAATGAAAAGTCAACATGAATCAGAATTCACTCTACTGTCTTTCTTAATTCACACTCTTGCTCGATTCATCAGTATACGTTCTTTCAGAGAAAAAAGTTGGTCTTTTATCAAAATGTAATTTTTATGATCCAATCAAGTCCCATCCTGCATTTTTTCTCTTTACATATTTATTGAAATATGATATTATATAAGATATAGTATGTAAGTTAAATGGATTGCAAACAGCGTTTCATGTTGACATGATCTTTTAAGTAGAACTAAAACATTTTTGTTAATTAAAACGAAGCTGAAATAAAATATAATAAATATTAGATGAAAAAATTGCTGAATTTTAAGTTGAAGCACTAAAATTACTGGAGATGAATAAAAACTAAAACTGAACAAAAACTAAAATGTAAATAAAATCAAATTAAACCTAAATGACAATATTAAAAAAAATTATTTAAAATAAAAACACTACAATTGGGTGATATTGGCTTCAGAGGTTTACCGGGCCCACCTGGACCTCCAGGGGAAGGACTACAAGGACCACCTGTATGTCACCAAACACAGACACATGTTAATGATATCGTATTTAAGCCCTTGTCAATCTCATTCAGCCCTTCTTAGCCTTGATTTAAGACAAATTATGAACAGATTCATGAGAGCTCCTCGCAATATTACAAAAGGAAACATTTGTGTGCGTGTGTTAAAGAACATATTTAAAAGTCTTCACATTTTTTAGAATATGAATATTATGTTAAAATAATATTTACACTACCATTCTAAGGTTCTTTTTTGATTAAATTAGTACTTCTATTTAGCAAAGACACATTAAATTAATCAGAACTAAGACTTGTATAATTTTATAGAACATTTATTTTATTTATTTATTTTGAACTTTCTATTCATCAGACAACCCTGAGAAAAAATGTACCACTCTTTTCAAGATTGATAATAATCAGAAATGTTTTTTGTGCAGCAAATCAGCATATTAAAATGATTTCTGAAGCATCATGTGACACTGAAGACTGGAGTAATGATGCTGAAAATCCAGCGTTGATCACCGGAATATATTACATTTTAAAATACATTACAATAGAAAAAAAGTTATTTTAAATTGTAATATTTCATAATTTTCCTGTTTTTACTGTATTTCTTAGCAAATAAATGGAGCCTTGGTGAGCAGAAGAGACTTCTTTCTGGAACTAAAATATCGAACACCAAACATTTGAACATTAGAGTATATTATATATTTTTATATTACAAAAAATTGAAGTGGCATCTGCAAACAGATGTGGCTAATTGTTCCCACAAATAATAATTTGAAATTTTTTTTTTTTTTTTTTTAAATAAATGGCACTTAACTAATGCAATGCCATGTTCAGACAAGTGTGGCTTATGTATCCAAATACTTTTGGGATAAAACATTTCTTATATTATCTGTGATCCCTGTAAGACATGTAAAAAATACATGCCATTCCTCAAAGGCTTCATCAATTACCACATCATCTTAACACCACATTTATCATCGTACTGTATCCGTGATCATATGTTACACACACCTGCTCCAAATCTTTTACATATGTGTCCAACAAATCCAGATAATCCAGTAACATAAACGTCATTCCAGATGTTCCAGTGCTGCTTTTATCTCAGCCCCAATTAATCTGAACGTGTTTTCCCCCTTTGATTTGTGTTAATAATCTGTCTGTGAACAATACAGGGCAACATGGGAAGACCAGGACCTCCTGGACCGACTGGGCCACCAGGACAAGGCCTACAGGGTCCAAAGGTAAGACACTGGCATACACAAATCATAAAGAGTTGACCATGCATATATGTGTTTCAAACCTAACAGCACAATCTTGTACACTATTGCAGGGTGATCAGGGGTCACAGGGTATGAGTGGGCCAAGAGGACCTCCTGGAGAAGGAATGCCCGGGTCAAAGGTCTCGGGTTTTGTTTTATATTCTGTGTTGTGATTGAATATTCGTACAATGTATTAATATGAAGCCCATTTGTGGTTTTCAGGGGGATCGTGGAGGTCAGGGTGAGAGGGGGATGAAGGCGGTTAAAGGTGATATGGGAGATCCTGGCATTCCTGGACAAACAGTTAGTAAACTAACCTCATCGTTAAGAGTTTCTGCCTGTATGAAGTACTTCAAATCAGTCATAATGCATATGAGTTTCTATTTCATATAGGATGCAGCCTAAATAGTAGGCAGAGAGGTAATTTGGAAAAATGTGGTGGGGTGCAATGAAATAAATGATCTGGTTCAACAGTATGCAACGAAATACACATCCCAATAAAACGCATAAAAAATCAGATGTTTAAAACAATTGTAGTAAAAAGGAAACATTTAAGAACAACAGAAATCAGTAAGAGCTTCTCACCATTATATAAAAGCAAACAATGTGTGCCACCTAGGCAAATATCTCTGGATGTAATTTCCTTTTTTGTATATTTTGAGATGCATTATAACTCCCTTACTCACATGTTTCAGGGTAGACCAGGAATCAAAGGAGAATCTGGACTAACGGTGTGTCTTCTACATCTTTCACATCATATTACAGCATTCAAATCATAATATGCAGTTTATTCATATATGCATTTCATATGCATTTTAGCGACTCAAATTATGTTTTTTTTTTTTTTTTTTTTAGAGGGACGAGATAATCCGAATGATCCGGGAGATTTGTGGTATGTGTATCCCACATTACATTTGAACATAATTTGCTTTATATACTGTTCAAAATGTTGGGGTTGGTGTGATTTTGTTTTTAAATGTGTTTTAATTGAAGTCTTTTATACACACCAAGACTGCATTTATTTGATCAAAATTACAGAAAAAAACAGTAATATTGTGAAACATTGTTGTAGTTTAAAATAACCTTTTCTACTGTAATATATTTTAAAATATAATTTTTCCTGTGATCAAAGCTGAATTTTCAGCATCATTACTCCAGTCTTCAGTGTCACATGATCCTTCAGAAATCATTCTAATATGCTGGTTTGCTGTTCAAGAAACATTTCTTATTATGTTGAACACAGTTGTGCTGCTTCATATTTTTGTGGAAATGTGATCTATTCATTAAAAAATACTGAGAAAATGTAAGGTTCAACAGAACAGCATTGATTTGAAATAGAAATCTTTAACATTCGAAACGGTTATTGACTAAAAAATGGCTTTTAATCCATTTAATCCATGCAGCATGGATGCTGAATAAAAGCATTTATTTCTTAAAAAAATATTACTCGCCCCAAACTTTTGAATGGTAGTATGTAAAGTTCATTAAATGTCCTGTGCTGTTTTTCAGGCTGTGGAGTCAAGTGTAAAGAGCGTCCCATGGAGCTGGTGTTTGTGATTGACAGCTCTGAAAGCGTCGGGCCTGAAAACTTTGAGATCATCAAAGACTTTGTGGCCGCTCTAGTCGACAGACTCACCATAGGCCGTAATGCCACCCGAGTCGGTCTCGTTTTGTACAGCTTAGAGGTCCAGCTTGAATTCAACCTCGCTCGCTACATGACCAAACAAGATGTCAAACAAGCGATACGCAGGGTTCACTACATCGGCGAGGGAACATACACCGGCTCTGCCATCCGCAAAGCAACTCAAGAAGCATTTTACAGTGCAAGGACTGGGGTGAGGAAGGTTGCCATTGTCATCACAGACGGACAAACAGATAAACGGGAGCCTGTGAAGCTGGAAATCGCTGTCAGGGAGGCGCATGCAGCCAACATTGAGATGTACGCTCTGGGGATTGTTAACATTAGTGATCCCACACAGGAAGAGTTTCTCCAGGAGCTCAATCTCATTGCGTCGGACCCTGACAGTGAGCACATGTTCTACATAGACCACTTCAACACCTTGCCAGGTAATAGATTCAGCAAACTTGTGGCTGAATGCCAATTCACATACTTCTACTATATATGAATGTACTTCTCTGGTGATGGCAAGATGCATAATTGAATACTGTACATATGGAGGTATGCATAAGCTGATAGATGCTTTTTCCCACAAAATTGTGTATTTATGGCATGTTAACCAGCAGGGGCATGTTTTTTAAACATCGCTTTTTATCTTGACTCATTAGTTGATTGCACTGCTAAAAAGTCAAGACATTTTACATTAACCTTAATATATTAAATATGCTAAATATTTACATTTTTGTATAAGCATAACTGCACTTCAACATCTTAAGCAACTGTTTCCAACATGGATAATAAATCCGCATATTAGAATGATTTCTGAAGGATCATGTGACACTGAAGACTGGAGAAATGATGCTGAAAATTCAGCTTTGCATCACATGAATAAATTTACATTTTGAAGTATATTAAAATAGAAAACCATCATTTTAAATTGTAATAATATTTCCCAATATTACTGTTTTTTTTCTGCATTTTTAATCAAGTAAATTCAGCCTGGATGAGTGTATAAGACTTCTTCAAAAAAACATTAAAAATCTTACTGATCCCAAACTTTTCAACGGCAGAGTAAATATTAATATCAATAAATTATAGTTTCTATATTTAATAATAATAATAGTTGACTTATTTATTTAAATAAATCCAATGATAGGCTTAATCTGGAATTGATCAGATATTTACATTTGGGTAGAATTAAATATCTAATATTGCTTTTATCTCTTTTTAATTCACTCTTATACAGCTCTGGAGTCCAAACTGGTCAATCAGCTCTGTGAGGATGAAAATGGAGCACTTATCTTCAGTCGCATTAATGGTTTTGAAAATGGATATGGTATTAATGGCAACCGCATCAATGGTAATGGCAGGTACAGTTATGGCACAAATGTAAATGAAGTCCACAGAGAGAACACGGGAACACACTCGGGGATGAACACTGTCACTCATGAGAGCGGCAGAGGAGGCACGTTTGCTCCAACAGCTGGTCCAGACATTAATGAGGTTAGTGCACTGATGGTCTCAACAGTGACCAGACACTTTTTTGGTGGCCTTGGTTTAGTAATATAGATAATGAATGGAATTTTTTTATTTGTGTTCAACTTCGACTTTGAGTGTTTTTTGCATTTCTAATGTTCACTCAGGAGGTTAAACGTGCACCTGAGACACCAGACACAAACACTTCAGAGCAGAGCAGCGGTAGAGGAGATACTCCAACAGTCACTGGGACATCCACACACAGCAGACCTTCATCAGGGACAACATCATCATCATCAACGTCAACAACTGTGAACACGTCAACCTCAGTGCGATATATACCAGCACCACGTCCACCATTACCTAAAGGTAAAAACATAACACACTCACTAATACACGACAAAATACACTACTGTTCAAAAGTTATGGATCTATAAGATTTGTATTTTATTTTATTTTTATTTTTAAAGAAGTGAATACTTATATTCAGCAAAGATGCATTAAATTAATCAACAAGTGACAGTAAAGACTTAAATATTATTACAAAAGATTTCTATTTTTACTTGAAAAAAGTATGGTTTCTGCAAAAACAGCAAGCAGCACAACTGTTTTCAACATTGATAATAATCAGAAATGTTTCTTGAGCAGCAAATCAGTATATTAGAATGATTTCTGAAGGATCATATGATACTGAAGACTGGAGTAATGATGCTGAAATTCAGCTTTGATCACCGGAATAAATTAATAACATTTTAAAATATGCATATTTCAATAGAAAACGTCTCTATTATGTATGTAACCCTCGTTCCCTGAAGGAGGGACTCCGCTATATTATCCAATTCGGTAGGTGGCGCTGTTACAAAAGAATAGGGTCCTAGAACTGCGGTCCTAGAACTGCGGTCCTGAAACTGCAGCCTCCAGTTGTGCAGGAACACCCTTCTCCCCACAAAGTCCACGGTATAGTTCGAACACTGGGTGCAACATATACTCAGGTTTTCGCTGAGCCGCCGACCTGGCCGCTCAGCAGTGGTACAGCAGCTGTGGCGACAGGATGTGACGTCTCAGTTCCCTCCTTCAGGGAACGAGGGTAGGGCTGGGCAAAAAATCGAATGCGATTTTCATGCGAATCTCATCAGTAAAGCCGCTTCTGGTGATTAGTAGTAAATCTCCAGCACGTGCTTTCAGATGGAGCGGCATTTACTACACAGAGCCGTAGATCACTGACAAGCTAAACAAAATCGCATTAAATTTTTTGCACAGCCCTAAACGAGGGTTACATACGTAACCGAGACACCTTTCAGTTGGTCACTCTGAATGTCACGTCGGTATTGACAGACAAATTGGGATCCCTAACAAAGCGCCACTGATGCTGCCCTTTCCAGGGTCCTGGGGCTCGCAACAAGAAGACCAGTCACTGTTATCGTTGCACTACCCACAACAGCACTCGAGTACTTGGCCGTGACAGTTACCATCGATCATGAAAACGATGATGATGGAAAAAAAAATATATTTTTTTCTGATTGGTTATAGCAGCACTTTGGGCGGCACCCTGAGCTCTGATTGTTTAGCTTGCAGCAGCATGCGGTCCAAAGTATAGACATGAGAAGAGAGAAGCATGGCTTTGAAGTCACGTAGTGATGTCTGGGTTAGCTACATACATATCTGATTAATCTAATATAGGATGCATTGGGATATTAAAGGTGCAATAGGTGATTTGGTTCAAAAGCATTTTTTGTTATGCTGGTTGAAAGTCTCTTCACATCTCGATAGCAATCATATAGCAATACGTTAAGTGGTCTAAATGTATAATTTATATATTCTGTGGAAGGCGTAGGACCAAGAAATGTTCGTTCTTTTCGACTTTCCTACCTGCCTGTCAACATATGTATTTGCATACCTCTGCGCACCCTATTCGCGCAGACAGGATATGTCATCAATGCGTTCATGTACGCTGTGCAGACAGATCGAGAATGGCTCCCAGATACCGTACAAAGCTGCACCAACGGAACCACTGACGTACTCGCAGTGGAGCAGCTAGGAGGAGCGCAGGGACCCGGCTCAGGCGGCTCGTGGGCGGTCCGAAGCGGGGTCTGAGTGTGTGGTGCAACACTTACCTGCGTTCAGGCAGAGGGTGCGTGAGTAGCGCGTTTGATAGCGCTCTCGATCCACCCACTGCTGCCCACTGGCGAGAGAGGAGGGTGAGTGTGACCTGGGGCTGGCCCCAGGGGTACCTAGAGATAGAAGAAACTGCTCTTTTGTCAAGATTTCCGGGGGAGGGAGTGGTGCGTTCACCATCTCCCAAAGAGCAGCTCCCTCCATCACTGGGTCGCCGTCTCAGGGCCTCTTCTGCTTGCCGCCAGGTTTGGCGGGGGCCTGGACCGGTTCCACGGCGCTGCTTTGCTGGATGCTGCTGCATTTGCTGTGCTCGGTCTGCTTCTGTGCGGCCGAGAACTGCTGGGCAAAGTTCTCCACCGCATCACCGAAAAAGCCGGACTTGGACATGGGGGCGTTCAGGAACCAAAGCTTGTCGGTCTCCCTCATGTCAGCCAGACACAGCCAGAGATGGCGCTCCTGGACAACCATAGTGGACATTGCACGACCCAGAGACCACGCAGTGACCTACGTCGCATGGAGCATGAGGTCAGTAGCAGTCCAAAGTTCCTGGAGAACCTCTGGGTCGTGACCACCCTCATGCAGGTCTTTCAGTGCCTTGGCCTGATGAACCTGCAGTAACGCCATGGCATGTAGGGCAGAGGCAACTTCTCCACAGACCGCATAAGCACTGCCGGTCAGGGCCAACGAGTACCTACAGGCCCGGGAGGGGAGGGACGGCTTGCCCCGCCAGGTGGCATCGGTGTTTGGACACAATTGCATCGCAACTGATCACTCCACCGGAGGAACTTCCTTATACCCCCGCCGTCAAGGGTGGTGAGGGAGGATGAGCCACCTAGCCGGATTCTGGCAGTGAAAGGTGCCGTCCACGACCTGGAAAGCTCATCATGCACCTCTGGGAAGAAAGGCATCAGGGTGGGGCCCTGAGAACCAGCACGAGCCACCCCAAGAAACCAATCATCCAGCCTTGAGGGTTCGGGACACGGTGGAGGCTTCCAGTCGAGCCCAACCCTCTCGGCGGCCCAGGCAAGCATAGCCACCATTTCTGGATCCAGCATCCAGCAAGTAGCGCTCCTTTGGCTTCTGCCAGGAGGAACACTAGATCTAGATCTAGGCAGAGGCACTGGAACCCCGCCCCTTTGCAGGCAACTCCGGGACGGTCATTCTCCCGCAATGAGAGCACAACTCGCCCACAAAAGCTGCCTCAGCGTGCTTAATGGCCAGACATGTGAGGCAGCGATCGTGACCATCACCCGGCACCAGGTAACGACCGCATCCAGAAATGCATGGGTGGAAAGGCATCTTTAAAAAGAAGTGTCTTTAAAAAGACTTCCACCCGTGAATGCTCTTTTAGGATTTGCTCTTTTAATGTGCTGAAGAGCACAGGGGAGATGGCCGCCTGTAACACAAACAGGGGGTAGTGCAGCCTATTGTGTGCAACCTACTCGACACGGGAAACCACCACCGCTGAA